TAAAGCTTGTACAGTAGCTCCATTCCCTCAAATTCTTGTTTAGCTTGTAGGAAGTGAGAGTAATCAGCTAAGGGTATATCGAACAACATTTCTGCATTGGATAGATCGACTCTTCTAGCTTCAAGCTCCACAAATTTTTCTCTGTACTCGTCCATGAGTTTAACACCCTTGTCTAAGTCTTCACCGACAGCACCTGGTCCTTCTCGTTCAAACCTCAAAATAAATTATCGGTTAGTAAGTACTGATCAAGTGCATTACACTGGTCAACACTGGTTTTGCCACACGAACTTTGACAGCTAATTGTGTTTTATCAGTCTACCCTCATTATTACATGACAGCTGGCATATGTCTATTAGCCTCATATTTGTTGTGATACGGTAATACTCATTACTAGTACTACGGCAGTAAATTAACAGAAACGCTTACAAGTAAATCCTTATAAAAATATTTGTTGTTGAATTTGAACACTTTTTTGTGATTTATTAACCCTGTGAATATGTCGAGGAAGTGTAATAATGATCCTAACTCTTTTTGTTATGTCTGCGGAGAACTAACATTCAAAAAACAACGACGAAATTTTACGAATCTTGTGTTGGAGTGTTATCACCAATGTTTTGGTTTTTCTGTCGCCCATCAAGACAAATCCTGGGCCCCTCATGTCTGTTGCATAACTGTGTGAAAAATTTTACTGACTGGAAGAAAGGTGCACGACCTATGCCGTTTGCTGTACCCATGATATGGACTGAACAGCGAGATCACGTTTCAGATTGCTATTTTTGTCTCACAGACATAAAAGGTATAAATTTCAAGAAAAAAACCAAAGTTATTTACCCTAACTTATCTTCGGCTATAAGACCAGTCTCTCATTGTAAAAAATTGCCAGAACTAATACCAGTTGCAACTACTTCTGTTGAGAACAATTCACAACCGTCCACTTCAGGTGAATGTGTTGACGAGGACGATGACTTTGAGTTAAAAGGAATTGTAAACGAGCCACATTTGATAACTCAAGGAGACCTAAATGATTTGGTTCGGGATTTAAATTTGTCAAAAAGGCAGTCAGAACTATTAGGATCACGTCTAAAAGAATGGAATTTGCTACATCATAATACAAAAGTTAGCTATTTTCGAAACCGTGATCAACACTTCAGAACGTATTTTTCTCAGGATGGAGATTTGGTGTTTTGCAATAACATAAATGAGATTATGAAAATGTTGGACATAGATTTTGATCTCTCTCAGTGGCGTTTATTCATTGATTCTTCGAAAGCAAGTCTAAAAGCAGTGTTATTGCATAATGGAAATAAGCTTCCGTCTGTACCTCTGGCCCATGCTGCAAATATTAAAGAAACTTATGAAAATATGAAACTTTTACTTGAAAAAATAAATTACAGTACATATTCCTTCAAAATCTGCGGTGATCTTAAAGTTGCTGCACTATTACTTGGACTTCAGCTGGGTTATACAAAGTTTTGCTGCTTTTTATATGAATGGGATAGCCGAGACAGAACTAATCACTATATAAAAAAAACATGGCCTAAGCGTGCATCGTTAGTTCCTGGGCAAAAAAACGTAAAGTATTTACCCCTTGTACAGCCAAATAATGTGCTTCTACCACCATTGCATATCAAATTAGGATTGATAAAAAATTTTGTGAAGGCAATGGATCGCAATGGGAGTAGATTTTTGTATCTAAAAGAAAAATTCCCTAAAATAAGTGATGCAAAGATAAAAGAGGGTATTTTTGTTGGCCCTCAAATTAGGGAGTTAATAAAAGATTCAAGATTTGAAGAAAAATTAAGTGATTTAGAAACATCTGCATGGAAGGCTTTTAAAAATGTTGTTTCAAATTTTTTGGGTAACCACAAGAGTGACAGCTACAGAGAGTTGGTTAGCGAGCTATTATTGTCATATCAAGCATTGGGTTGCAACATGTCACTTAAGATCCATTTTTTAGACTCGCACCTGGATTTTTTTTCCTGACAATTTAGGGGCTGTCAGCGACGAGCACGGTGAGAGGTTCCATCAGGACATTTCTAATATGAAAAAGCGGTACCTGGGCAAATGGAGCCCAAATATGTTAGCAGATTACTGCCGGATAATTAAAAGGGACCAACCAGAAGCTAAATATTCAAGAAAATCTTAGATTATTAAGTCATTTATAAAAAAATAACTTTTGATTTACGAGATCTGTGTTTTTTCTTAATATTTTAAATTACTCAGTAGAATAAAATCCTTGTCTAGCAAATTTTTTTTAACTGTTTATTTTTTCTTACAATCACCAATTAAAGTAAAAAATATCAAAAAAGTCCGTGTGGCACGACAAAGTTAAAATTTTGTTGACCAGTGTTATTAAACGTTACATCACTTGGTTTTCAAAATAAACTAAGACAGTTGCTTTGCAACATGGAAAATTTTACCCGAATTCAAATCTCGATATTTTCGGAATGGAAAGAGATATCGACTTGCCGTATTCGGAAGGTTCTTGATAAACTCTTCGAGAATATGTGCAAGGTTCGACCGGTATATTTATTTTATTCATCCACTTACACAGGGTGAGTAGAGGACGTCAGGTTTTTTTAGCAAAGTTTGGGGCTATGTCCGATTCTCAATTTTTGATCTTGGAAATTTTTCTATGCATCTTTTTGATCTTTCGACTATATTAAGAAAAATAATATCTCAAATTTTTCGAAAGTTGGATATAACTCAAATTATCGAATTTTAAAGAAGTGTTATAATGGGTGATTTTTTTGCTAGTATCTTTTTGGCAACACTGTTTTTGACAGATGACGCGTGAATCGTGTCTTGTGTCATTGTCAAACTTGTTCAGTTTGGCCTATAATTTAACCATGAATCGACTTACGAACGAACAACGCTTGCAAATTATTGAATGTTACTATCAAAATTCATGCTCGGTTAAGAGAGTGCATCGAGCACTGCTTCCAATTTATGGGCAATTTGGTCGGCCTACTGAGGAAGCTATTCGGAAGCTTGTGACTAAATTTCGAACCCAGTTTACATTATTGGACATTAAACCACCAACACGCAGACGTAGAGTGAGGACTGAATAAAATATTGCGGCTGTATCCGCCAGTGTTAGTGATGAACGTGAAATGTCGATTCGCCGCCGTTCGCAGCAATTGGGCCTCTGTTACTCCATTACGTTGAACATTTTGCGACAGGATTTGGGTGTAAAACCTTATAAGATACAGCTCGTGCAAGAATTAAAGCCACACGACCTCCCACAACGTTTTCCATTTGATGAATGGGCGCTGGAAAAGTTGGAGGAAGATCCACATTTTTATCGAAAAATTGTGTTCAGCAACGAAGCTCATTTCTGGTTGAATGGGTACGTTAACAAGCAAAATTGCCGCATCTGGAGTGAAGACCAGCCAGAAGCATTGCAAGAGCTACCAATACATCCCGAAAAAATCACTGTTTGGTGTGTATTAAGGGCCGGTGGCATCATCGGGCCGTACTTCTTCAAAGATGACAATGGCCGGAACGTAACTGTGAATGGCGAGCGCTACCGTACGATGATAACAAACTTTTTTTTGCCCAACATGGAAGAGCTGGATTTGGCTGACATGTGGTTTCAGCCACATGCCACACCGCACACTAAACAATGGCCCTATCGTGTGATTTAACGCCGTTAGACTATTTCTTGTGGGGCCATGTTAAGGCTAATGTCTACAGGGATAAACCAGCAACGATTGACGCACTGGAAGCCAATATTGAAGCGCATTTATTCGTAAGATACTGGCCGATATGTTGGAGAGAGTGTGCCAAAATTGGATCTTACGCATGGGCCATCTAAAGCGGAGCCGCGGCCAACATTTACATGAAATAATCTTTAATCATCAAATTATATCGACCGTTCTATCGACTCAAGTAAAGATTTAATCGTTTTTTCAAATTTTTTGTGTTTTTTTTAAATCAAATCCTATACCTCTTAAAAAATCTCCCGTTATTTATCCATAAGAAGGGACTTTTTTGGGGTTTTTCGTGAGAATGGGTATTTTTTCTCATACATAAATTGGAACTTCTTGCGCCCGAGAAAAGATTAAGCACTCATTGAATGTTATTGCCTCCAGTGGCGTGCAGCAAAAACTTGCTACTTTGACATTATTGTAGCGTTTTTGTGTTCTTAAGGGTGTAAATTAAAACACTCGATTCCACAAAAAGAAATGCACTAATTTATTTAAAGCACAACACAACTAACTTAACTAGATAGCACATTTATGTACTCCACTCTTTATGTCTGACTACCTATTTATGAATTATTATGTCGCGCTATTCATTAAACTGTGCTTCCCTCTACCGGCCGTCGGCTTATATATTCCGCATCGCAGGTACTCGCTAATTCGAGAAAGTTCCGGTACGCCATTTAGCGGCTAGTCCAAAACCTTCGGGGTCAGTCTCGCGCCTCGCGTCGATGCGGAAGGAGAGTCCCTGGCGCGATTCACGACAGATGGCGCTAGTAGTACCATTCATTCTTGCTACACTGTCCTTTCCTTATAGTCATTCCGTCTCGGAATGGTCTTAGTGGTGGTGGATGTCGGTATCGGCACGACTGCCCCTTCTTGCAGTAGAGTTCTTAAAGAAGTAACAATACACACTCTTTCCAGGAGGTCTAGGACTGTGACAACATACCAGAAATCGAATGCCTGTATACCGGAAGACTATAGTCAACGCCAAACAAAGTGGCGTGCACGTCATCAAGGTGGGTGTGTTGAAAAATTTACATTGTTGCCAAACTTTTTGTAAAATAATAAAATTTATTATTTACATATCTAGGTTTATAAGCAAAATTAACCTCAAATGAGAACAAAAATAATAGTATAATAAAATTATAGATCTGTACTTGCATAATCATTAAGTATGACAATTATTGATCAGATGACGCTATGAAACTACCATATTTAATTGATAGCTTAAAGGTACTGAATAAAAATCCAAATGGGGTCCTCCAAATTTTATGCATGGTATTTATTTTACAGAATTCATACAGAAAAATGCATTCTAAAATTAGGTAAGCTACTGGTGTAAGCTTTTTCTGTACAATAAAGTTAGTCGGAGTTTCTTTCTTCAGCGCTGTCTGAATCTGAATCTTCATCACTCTCAAAGTTGATTATTAAAGGTTCGATGTCTGGTCGATCAAAAATTCGTTCTCTTTCATACCATTTAAAAATTTCTTGCTCAGTATGTCGAACACTATTTTTCCACATGTCTGGGGTAACCGTTTGTAGAGCCTCGTTCCACATATCCAAACAGTCTTTTTCACTGTTACCATCTCTACCAATATGTCTGTTATAGTAACCTTTTGCTATGCCCCAAATTAACTCAATAGGGTTAAATATACAATGGTAAGGAGGCAGACGAAGAACTTTGTGCCCATGTTGTTCCGCCAATTCATCAATCACGTATATTTTAGGTGGTTTGTTTCTAAAAAAGCAGTTATTTTAAGAATAGGAATAAACAAAAGAAATATAAACTGTCGACCAAAATATATATAATTAAGAAGCATTAGGTACCGAGCAACAATACTCAATAGCTCTGTTTTAAACATTGTGTTTAAAAATGGTATGTTTTGATTTGTCAACCAGTCTTGGATATTTTTTTTTGTCCATGCATTGTTGGGCACTTTGTTCAATATCATGCTGTGATAAGGGGCGTTATCCAGTATAATCATAAATGGACTCTCCAATTTTTCTAATAACTGATGTTGAAACCATTTCAAAAAATTGTCCTGGTTCATCTCTCCATGGTAATCGCTCAATTTTGTTTTCGAAAAAAATATCGCTTCAATAAACCCATTTTCATTTCCAGCATGTAATATAATGTATCTAAAATATATTAGTTTTAAATTTTATAGTGCAAATTGTGTAAAAGTATATACCTTTTACCATCTGTTTTAATAGCTTTCACGCTTTTTTGGTTTCCATTTTGCCAAGAGCGACCTATGGTCCCATTTTGAAATATCCAAGTTTCATCGAGGAAGACAAACTGGTATAAGGCCTCAACCTTGGCTTGATTGTATTGCCTTAGAAATTCCACCCTTTTCAAAGCTATACTTGGTAGTTCCATGAGCCCTCGTCGCGGATTGTCCTTAAGCCACTTAAATCCAAGATCTCTAAGCAACCGCCTTAAAGACGTGGCACTACCATCAAATAATGCCCTATCTCTTAATCGAGACCATAAAGTTTGTATCGTAACTTGTTCTTCTGAAACCATGTGTAATATGACATTATAATTTAGTTAACAAATTAATGCAAATTTCTGATAAGTTATTATAATAAGATCTTACTTTTGTGATACATATTATAGATCACTTCTCGAATGGCACTTGTATCCAATGTCGCTGTGTTGGTTACACGTTTAATATAACTCCGCTTTTTCTTGGGCGATTCTAAATTTGCATCACTTTGTTGTTGTCCCTTTCTTGCTCAAAGTAGTGCATTAACGAGGCCACGAGTTCCTTACACCGACTATTTAACTGTTTGGGCATCTTTATATACCAAAATTGCCTTTATCTACTCGTAAAATGAATAATTTTGTTTTGAAACAAACAGTTGTTGATTTACAGTATGCGGGGCCAAAGGATTTATAAAGATTTGAATTGCCACAAATTGATTCAGTGTCAAAATTAATACAAATGTCAGTTCCCAGTTTAAATAAGTTTCAAGGTGACAATGTGTCAACGCTGCGAAATCGGTTTAGTGCGTTTACATGTCGATAAGTGATTGGAGCGTTTGCAAAACATTTTATTTCGCATAATGCGTCTAAATTTATCAGAAAGCAACTTATGTGATATTTTAATAACAATATTTATATGACTATTAACCATAATAAGAGAGTAATGACCATGTTACAATTTATATATCACATTAATATGAAACTGCAATAGAGCAATTGTTTGTGATAGAAACCTAGGCATTAGGTCGGGGAATTTTTATCGTGATGACGTGCACGCCACTTTGTTTGGCGTTGACTATACCTCAAACATGCTTCGGATGATTCTCTAGTCCAGGTTGTCTAGTCCACATGCCAGTCTAGGTATTGCCAGTTTTCTCAGGTCCTCGACAAGCAACACTTCTGTAAGAGAACACAGAGCGTTCCAGACATCCTCATAATTCAGTTTCTTATACGAAGCTTTCTTGGAAACCAGATAGATGATCTTTCGGTTGGTACCCTCTTCAGTTATCTGGAGTACGTCTCCAACTTCCGGATTAGATTGACGCAGCTCGGGTACTTTTCCAAACCTCCTGAGAAAGACCTTTCCTATACCTCTCGATATTTGCAGGACTTGAGCCGTACAGTGTACCAGGGCATACTCTGGTGAAGTGGTAAACAGATCTTGCTGTACTCATGTCACGCCATACCTTCTCTTATGGCCATTAGCATGGTGGGCTACAAATTGGTCAAATGTCATGTCCTTCTGGTTGGATTTGTCGCATCGCCGCATCTTCGTTGTTTCCATGATAAGGGACGAGTAGGTTGAAATGTACAATTCAGGCTTTACCACGTGATGCCTGCTGAATCCTGTAGAGAACATCGTTGATGACCTCGAGAACTTAATATGGCCCGTTCCAGGATGTTTGAAGTTAAGGCGACAGCCGTTTTCGCCTCTTTGGGTCGTAAAGCCAAACCGTATCACCGTTGTCATACCTCGGGTCTTTGCCATTAACGTCACAAGCTTCCTTCATCCGGTCGCTGGCACCTTGAATTGAAATATAAACCTGGCTATGGATGGCGTCCATTCTTCTACGCAGCTCACTGACGTTGTCTTCTCCGGCAATATCAGCTCCTGGTGGACAGCCAAACTTTAGATCGCATGGTAGACGAAGTTCTCTTCCCATAACTATTCGAGCCGGGGCCTCTCCGGTGCTTTCATGAATCGATGATCGGTAAGCCCATAAGAAGAGGTAAAGAAAACCATCCCAGTCTCTTTGATGGTTAGAGACTACCTTAGCTAAATACCGGCTCCATCGAAGCTTCTGGTTTCCTCTGCGGTCCATTACTTGCCGCACATACAACGCATTTTCTGCACCGGAATGGATTTCCTCTAGCAGCTCCGGGATCCGACATCTGGGGATAACGATTTGCCTTCTTTCCTCTTTGCCATCGTGGTCCACAATTTTACGCAGTAAGAGTCCGTCATCCATAACTAGAGAATTCCATTGTGCCCAATATGATTTTATGGTAGGAGAATACTTGCCAACTTCTTCCCAGGCTGGCTTCCGTTGTTCTTTCATCCAGTTCAAAATTATTTGGAGATCGGGGTCGCCCTCTTGGTCTTTAATGAGGTCTTCATTTTGCCAAGTACCACTAACGATAGTGGTTCTTAATACTTGGGCATATTTCTCCTCTGCCAGCTGGCAATGCTTACGATCCTTTAAACAGGGTCTCCTCGATAAGACATTGCCATTACGACGGCCAGCAACTCCGTTCGGGCAGCGCAATAGTCACGCTCTGGTTTTGACAGTGTTTTGCACCTTCTGTGCCTTCCTGGACTTGGGATAATACAGCACATATACCCAAATTGCTAGCATCAGTGTCTAACACAAACTTACCTTCTGGCATTGGATAGCTGAGAATAGAGGCTTTTGTCAAAGCTTCTTTCAAGTGTGTAAAAGCTTGTTGGCAATCCTGATCCCATTGGAATTTGCGTTTCGCTTCTGTCAGTCTGATCAACGGCTTTGCGATATTAGCAAATCCTTCCACGTAACATCGGTAATATGTACACAACCCTAGGAAGCTGCGTACCTCACGTTTGTCCTTACTGGCCATCGTTTCACAGTTTGGATTTTCTCCTTGTCGACCGCGACTGCCTGACTGGAAACAAGATGGCCCAGATACTGCACAGCTCTTCAAAACAGGTGGCATTTATTTGGGCTTACTTTCAAGCCAGAACCTCCTAGCCTTAAGAAAACTTCCTCTGTTCTTCATGTGGTCCTCAAATGATTTTCCCACCACGATAATGTCATCAAGGTAAACCAGGCACGTTTTCCAGGATAGTCTCCTTAGAATCGTGTCCATCAGCCTTTCAAAGGGTATTTTTGATCCAGCCAGGGTATCCAGAGTGTCATCAATACACAGTAGAGGCTGGCTGTCCTTCTTGGTCACGTTGTTTAACATTCGGTAGTCCACACAAAATCTGGTTGAACCATCTTTGTTTTTAACCAAAACTACTGTTGACGCCCATGGACTGTTGGACGGTCCAATGATTCCCTCGTTCGCTATACTGTCTAAGATCTTCTCAGCCTCCTCTCTTTTAGCAAGTGGGAGCCTTCTTGCCATCTGCCGGATGGGGCGGGTATTTTCCGTATTGACCTTGTGCTGGACTATACAGGGTATCCGCAAAGTTGGGGTTTTCCTTTTCAGAAACAACTACCCTTGAAATAACAAAGGTAATGTGTAGTGAAACGAGGGCGACCAAGTAAAAAAAATAAAGGAAAAAGTACTCACTCTCCAGTTGACGAGAAGGGCTAAGTACGTCTCTGCCCGAAATCATACCGCTCCAACAGAAAATGAAATCAGCTGATGCGCTACCGAGCAGACGCAGGCAAACAAGGAAGGCAAAATGTTGCGTAAAAAGTCTAGGTATTGCATGCCGTCCAATCGATTTGGGAGAATAAATGGTCCAATGAGCATACCGTTCACCATGCCAGCCCAAACATTCACCGAAAATGTTTGTTGAAAATGTGCCCGACGGACAGCGTGTGGATTTTCTACTGACCAAACATGAGTGTTGCGAAAGTTATTCACCCCATTACGCTTGAACGTAGATTCATCTGTCACCAATATGCACTTCAAAAAGTATGGATTATTGTCATGTTGATGCAACAACCACTCACAAAACCGCACTCTTGCTGGAAAATCGTCAGGTTGGGCTTGTACAGCCCCTCTTCACGCAGCGTTTGCCACACTTTAGTTTTTGATACTTGCACTTCTCTAGCCACGTGTCTAGTGCTTGTTGAGGGATTCTCGTCTACGCGATTACATCTACACGCGTGACCGTAACCGTCGGTT